AAAAAATATCTACAGCGACTCCAATGGCGTGGCAATATCCTATTTTGAGGAGTCTACTGCGACCCAAGTGTGACGTATGGTTTTGAATTGCAGTGGGGTTTTGTGACGCAAATCTGACTTACTGCGACGAAATTGGGTACCGAATTTGAGTATTTTCCTTGTAGTGGAAGATACTAAATTTTGAAAAGATCTAAATGATAATGGATTAGACATCATGACAAACCCAAGCCCGGCCAAAATAACAAAACAAAGTGATAGTAGCTCAAGAAGAAAATAGAGAGGGGAGAAAAGGGAATATAGATTCACATTTGATTTTAAATTTTTAATATTGACAAACGAATTCCTTTGTCGAGCATGGATGTGATGCTTCCTAATACCATTCCTTTGTCGTATTGTAATTTTTTTTATAAGTCAGTTTCAATTATTAATATCATTTAATTCTGTTGCTAAGGAGTAGTATCATTTCAATTAATTAAAATGATATAATAAAATTAATTTCACATTCGTTAGTTCCAGGTTTTTTTTTTTTTTACTATTAATTAAAATGATATAATAAAATTAATTTCACATTCGTTAGTTCCAGGTTTTTTTTTTTTTTACTTAAATACTTCATCAATTTGTATACATAACCTTAAGTATTTATCTAGTATATAAATAATAATAGCTGAAAAAAAATACGGTATCTAATGTATGAAAACCAAAAATCGTACGTGGCCTTTTGTTATTACATAATAAGAGTAAATATTTTTATACAATTTTAAGAAAGGTTTTTGTTCAATTTCATAGAAGATTTACAGTGAATTTATTTAAAAAATATTTGAGAAATATATATATTAAGGGTGATCGGGACCGGGTACCCTAGAATTTTTGGAGGAACCCTATAAAAAACAGGTTTTGGTTTTGGGTACCTGAGACAATTACGATGGTTCCTATTAGTTTAAAAAATAACAAAAACACCTTTAAAATTTACAAACTCACCCCCATTTGTTTACAAAAATACAAATATGATTGATTATTTATTTCAGATGACCCAAATACAAATCATGACATTTTTTATTTTAATAAATTCTTTAACTTTTCTCTTCTTAATTAATTTAAATATTTTAAATTGGGGATTTTGATTGTTAATCGAATTGGAGATTTTGATTTGTCAATGTAAAATTACTTAAAATCCCTCAATGTTGCATACTATTTTTTTCAACCCCTACATATATGAGTAATTGACTTTTTCCCACCCAAGGTTTGTCTTCAAGGATGTAGCCAGAAATGAAATGTAGATGAGTCAAAGTTGGAAGAACAATATAATTTTAAATTAAAATAAGCGTCGGTTTTATATTTATAAAATTCTCATTAATTAATACATTTATAATTGTCTTCGACGAGATTTCATCTTTTAAAAGTATTTTATAACACTTCATTATCAATACTATTAAATATATTTTTCTCTATGTACACAACTAGGCTATCATTCAATCATTGATCACTCATTCTATTTTGCAAACGATTTAAAAGTATTATATAACACTTCATTATCAATACTATTAAATACATTTTTCTCTATGTATACAACTAGGCTATCATTCAATCATTGATCACTTATTCTATTTTGCAAACGATTTTTCACAAAATTCATTGTTGAAAATGCTCTCTCTACACTAGCAATAACAACGGGTAGAATCAATGTTAATTTCATTAACAAATAAACGAATGGAAAAACTATCATTTTTAGTTTCAACCATCATTTTTGCAAGATCTCCAATCCCATAAATTTGAATTTAGAGTGCATATCTAAAATGTAAACATCAAGTTTAGAATCAAGTGTTATGAGTTCTAAGTCAGAAAAATCTTCTAGATAAAATTCGACAAGGCACAAATTTTTTTTTTTTTATCAAAAGCAACAAATGATTCATTTAGACATAAACATGCCAAACAAATTGAATTGATATTTGTAAAAAATCTATTCAAATAACCAAATACTTGTGCAATTAAATAAACAATTAAAGTTAACTCTCATTTGAATCAAATACTTTTTTTATAACAAATATAAAAGTGAGTAAAACAATGTGGTCCTAAGAACCCATCTTCTCCATAAAAAAATAATAAAAAATCAGCTAATATGGGTAAAACAATGTGGTCTTAAGAAGTCATCTTCTCCGTAAAAAAATAATATAAAATCGGCCAATATGGGTAAAACAATGTGGTCCCAAGGCCAACTCCAAAATAACTTAAAAAAAATATCTTCTTACTTCTTTTATTTCAACATATCATCACAAATTAAAAAAAAAAAAAAAATGGGTACAATTTATGGTTCCAATGACAATTTCATCTTTCTAAATCCTAATATGTAATTTAATCTTAAACTTTCAAAATAAAAGAATACAAATATAAAATGTATTAGGATTACTTGACAAATTGAAGAATAAAGGGGCTTTTTGGCTTGATAGGTGGGAGAAAATTGGACTTGTCTGGGTAAAGGAAAAAACTTTGAAACCTGGGTTGTTGAAGAGAAAGAACCGAAATGGGAAGGTGAAAGAAGGGTTTAGTTTTGAGTTTGACAGAGTAAACAAAAGAGAGAGTATAATTTATTTCATGGATTGAATTTTTTGGTAATTTACTTTTTATTTAACGGTAATTTCGTAAACTTTATAAAAAAATTTAAAACTTAAGGGGGTCAACTGACCCTCCTTAATCCCCCTCCCTCCGTCCCTGTTTGCCTTGATGATACTTTCCCATCTAAAAAGTTTTAAAATACCACTTTTCGACACAAAGTTTAAATTCCATTAATACCCAAAATATACTTCACTTTCGTAACCGGCATTCTGCAAGTTACCAGGAGCCAGGGTAAGAGGAATTCTGTAGAGTGGAGGCCGATGGATTGAATGGTGGTGACCGATTGAATATTAGCTTCCAGAATCAGTCGAAAATCAGCTAAGAACAAAAAACTTTAGGTTTGCAGTGGCTGACAATTGACAAGAATTTTTGCCGTTGGAATCGGCCAGAATCGGCTTTAGGTAGTAACAGAATATTAACTTTGAGTAGGAAAATGGTATTGTGAAACTTTTTGGGTGGCAAAGTGTCATGAAGGCAAACCTTGGGAGGGACAAAGGCGTTTATTAATATTATTAATAAAATCCCAAGAGGTTTCAAACTTCAGCGCTTTGGGGCTTGACCTATTTAGCTGGCTGGCTTGTTACCAACTCACCGACTCGCCAACACGTCACCTAAATAGTTAATTTTGTTTTTACATTTTACAAGAGTTATTGACAATTTCACTAGCAACATTTGAGCTACCACAATTCATATAATTTGCGATAGAAACACTTTTTTTAAAGAAATTATTGATCTCAGAATAAAATTGTGGGACTACAATGGCATTGCTTATAAATAGTTAATAGGAAAAAAAGTAACATATGAAGCAGCATAGTTCTTAAAATAAATAAAGGGCAAAGAAAAATATATCAACGCAATAAAAGAAAACTAATCAAAGTACAATTTTGCTAAGTTTGAACACCCAGGTTTGTGATCCCACATGTGTTAAGAAGTAATTAAATTAAGGAGGAAGTGAGTTTTTTTTTTGGTATAAACTCGCATCATTGTTCTATTATTAGTATTATTTTTAAATAAATGTCATATCAAAAGCCTCATTTTTCCTGTCCAGATACCTTACATAATCTTTACTTGATAAGTACCTTCTACCTAAATTCATATAAAAAAGTATACGAATTAAATTCTTTAATTAAAATCTTATACTTTTCAATAAATATTATATCTAAATTTCTTTTAAGACAGTAGAATTGTTCTTAATAGTAATAGTTGATGAAACGTTAAAGAAACAGCTCGAGTCGTGGCAATTAAATATATTTCTAATTTAAAAAAATTCTCTGAATTAAGTAAATTACACTTCAAATCAGAATTGTATGCATGAATTCACATACGATAATTAGATCAAATGATTAATAACATTATCTGAGGAAGAAGTATTATTATTCAAATATTACTATTACATCTTTATCTACCTCTTACTTTTATTTAACAATATTAAAATTTACCGATTTATTCTAAGATACTAATAAGTATATGGCGAAATTTTCAAATAATGGTCATTAGCTACAATTAATTACACCAAACTTTGCGGTGCATGTATATATGATATTTTCTGATTGAATTAAATATCAACACCCAGATATTTATTACAACAGGAACATCTAAATGACTTAAGTTTATTAATTATTCTTAAAAATTAATAATTCATTGATTAAATAGCTTTATTGTAAGGCATTTTAGTAATCAAAATGGCTGCTTTCTTACCAACAACACTTCATTATTTCAGGGACCACTTGCATTTATGTAGCTTTATTCTTTTTCATCACCATCCATAAATTGTAGCCGTTAATTGATAATTGTATATCTTGCTTTAGATTTAGAGTGCCGTTACTTATTTTTAATCTTCGAAGGAGACATTATTTTTCCTTGCTCTTTTTGGTTCACCCTTTTTTTTTAATGGTTGTCACAAACTCCGAAGGATTTTAGGGTAAATAATTAATAACGATTAGAACAATTAGGAGGGTAACAAAACGCAAAACAGAAAGTTTAAACTAATTTTGTTTTTAAAAAATGAATTAGCTCTCCTAACTAGTGGAAGTTAATTTAAGAAAGTTAAAATTAGGAAAGAATCCAATATTTTCCGAACTAGTAGGAAACTATTGAGTTACAAAAATAGACAATCACTGAAAGCATTAAGATAACATATCTCATTTCAACGAACGGATCTCTCCGTGCAAGAGATCCAACGGCTCAAATAGATTACTTTAGTGTGTGTGGCCCAATGAAAGTAACCTGTAATTTGGTTTACTGTTATAAATGGCGTTTCATGGAATTGGTAATTGTTGATATCAACTTTTCTATCGTATATTTCTGCACTAAGAAAACATAATTAATTAACAAACTACTTATTATAAAACACGCATCTTTCTGTACCATTTGATTACACAACCATAATTTAATCTCTTTCTTATTTCTCACCAAACATTCATCTCTCTCTCTCTCTCTCAAACTTTCTTCATCTTTCTTCATTATCTACTTTGATTCTTTTTTAGGTTTCATGGGACGTCTAACAAATCTAATTGGCATAATTAAAGACAAGGTCTCTCAAAGCAGAGTGGCTATGGTCTCCAATCCCAGAACCCTATCTCTTCACCTTGCGGTTTTACGCGCCACAACTCACGACCCATCTTCACCTCCTAATAAAAAACACTTAACATCCCTTCTCGACTTCGGCCACAGCTCACGCGCCACCGCCTCCGCCGTCATCGAGACCCTCATGGACCGCCTCCAGACCACCCGCGACGCGTCAGTGGCCATCAAGTGTCTCATAACCGTCCATCATATCATCAAACATGGAAGTTTTATTCTTCAAGATCAGCTCTCGGTGTACCCTTCCACAGGCGGCAGAAACTACCTTAAACTATCGAATTTTAGAGACAATTCTACCCCTCTTACGTGGGAACTCTCTTCATGGGTACGATGGTACGCTCTTTATCTCGAACATGTTTTGTCCACTTCCAGGATTCTTGGTTTCTTTCTTGGTTCAATTTCAGACAAAGATATTAATAACGAAGAGAAAGTTTCATCTCTTATGAATAATGATTTGCTTAGAGAGATTGATTCATCGGTGGGTTTGCTTGAAGAGATGTGTAAAAGGCCAGATTTTTTACACATGCATGGTAACAAATTGGTTGAAGAGGTTATGGGATTGGTCGAAGAGGATTATTTGTCGGCGATAAACGAAGTTTCGATTCGACTCAGTGAGTTTAGGGAGAGACTGAGTTCGTTGAGTTTAGGTGACTCGGTTGAATTGGTGTGTGCTATGAAAAGGTTAGAGATTTGTAAAGAGAGGTTAGAAGTGTTGTCGAATAGAAAGAGGGTGATGATTGAAACGTTTTGGGGAATGGTGAATCAACTCAAGGATGTGGTGGGGAAGGAGAATAAGTACAGAGAAGAGAGATCAGTGACTGTGAGAAGAGATAAAGTGAGTGAGTCAGCTCGGTTCGGGGATCGAGTTATGAAGTATGGTGGTCACTCAGTCCGATTCTCGTCAGGAAGATTTGAATTGAATAAGTTTCCCGTTCTTGTTCTAGATTCGGTTCAATCATGTGCATAAAGTTTTTCCAGAATTTAAAGTAAAAGTTGATGTTTAATTATAGGAAATACAAATGAAGAAATTTTGTTATTTTCGGAATTTGAGTATGAATTGGCATTTAAGATAGATTTGTAAATTAAAGTAATTAATTAAGATGTTGTGTAGTTGACCAATAAGGCGGGATCACATTTGAATAAATTAATTCTTCTACTTTCTTTTAACTTTGAATAATTTTATGTGTTGTAGATATCCAAAAATTGATTTACTTCAATTGGTTTTGTTTATGTTTGTTTACTTCATGGTCGGTTTAAAGAGAGCAAATAAGAATGGATGTCCAGGAAATCTCATGGCAATACTTTATTAAAATGAAAGTCAAAAGACAATTGGACCCTCATTCTGTTATTGTTTCTTAGGTTAACTGTCAGCGCCGCAGCCACCGCTAGCACTAACTCAAAATTCCAACACGTCCTGCATATGATCTCAGGCTCACTTAGGCATTGCGATAGCCGCCCAATCGTTTTATTTGTTATACGTATAATGTAGTGAGGTGTATATATATATATATATATATATATATTATAAAACATTTTTATTTGTATCATTGCACTAATGAGGAAGTCGATCTATCTTAATAATATAAATATTCTTGGTGAAGATTTCTAAATCTTCAATAATCTTTTAAAATTACAATAAAGTTGCACTTTTTGTTACTTCTTGGACTTTTCTTTTTAATCTCGTCTCGTCAATAACTCTTTTTCTTTTTGCACATATATCTCTCCGAGCTTTGTTGAATGCTTTCTTTTAAGTCCAACTGAAATCAATCCAATTTTATTGAAACCAAATATATTTCAAATCCAGCTGGTACAGTTGGCTCATCCTAGCAAAGTCTCTTTCTTTGCCGCCAAACATCATCTCTTATGGATACTATTTTTCCCAGTCATTTTGATAATGATGGTATCGTCAAAGGAACACCATTACTAGTTAC